CACTTTGTTGCCCAGGCTAGAGTGCCGTGGCTTCAGCCTAGCTCACAGCAACCTCAATCTCCTGGGCTCAAGCGATCCTCCTGCCTCAGCCTCCTCCCGAGTAGCTGGGGCTACAGGCATGCACCATGATGCCCGGCTAAATTTTTCTATATATATTTTTAGTTGGTCAATTAATTTCTTTCTGTTGTTAGTAGAGATGGGGTCTCGCTCTTGCTCAGGCTGGTTTCGAACTCCTGACCTTGAGCGATCCTCCCGCCTCGGCCTCCCAGAGTGCTAGGATTACAGGCGTGAGCCACCGCGCCCGGCCTAAATTATTCTTAACAAAAAAAAAAAAGAAAAAAAAAAAAGAAATCTGTGGTAGGATGGTGCTTTTGATTATGAATCTACATAAAAGAAAACCTAATGCTTGTATTAGGATGTGAACTCAGATGTTTCTTAAAACTTTTCTATTCTACTTTTACTGCCTTGAAAATGTTCACTCAAGCAGATCTTCTTTACTGTGCATGAGTTAAAGTGATTGATTGACTTTAATCTCTTTGAGAAATGCTCCCGGGCCTGGCCACGAGGATTAGCGTTGTTGGCACTTCCGGCTCTGCGGTTGTCTACTTGACTCCTCTTATAGGAGCCCGGGTTTAAATCTCGCTGCAGGGAGATATAACAGGGGCCGCTTGCTAACTATTTTATAGTTATACAACTTACAGCGGTTTTTTGAAACAGCTTTATTGAGATACAATTCATATGCCATAAAATCCACCTATTTAAAGCACATAATGCAATGGCTTTTCACCTATTCTCAGAGTTGTGCAACCATCATCACCATCAATTTTGGACAGCCTTCATCACCCCAAAAAGAAACCCCATCATACCCATCACCCCCTAACCTCCCCTCTCCTCCCATCCTCTCTACTGTCTGTGGCCCACCAAACACACGGAAACTAGCTACGTGCGCAGTGATAAAGCTCTGGTGCAAATATGAGAAGCTACTTAGTTTGAGTAGGAATCGGTCAAGATTATTTTGTTGTCAAGCGACAGAAACCCAAAGTAAAAGCGTGTTGGACAAAACGGACGATTTATGGACCGTGATAGTTAATTTTATTTGTTAACGTGCCTGGGCCTTGGGGTGCCCAGATATTTGGTCGGAACGTCATTTCTGAGTGTGTCTGTGGGGGTGTTTTTGGATGAGATTCACATTCGAATTGGTGGACTTGAGTAGATTGTCCTGCCTAGTGTGGGTGGGCCTCATCCAATCAGGTGAAGGCCTGAATAGAACAAAAGGGCTGACCCTCCCCCGAATGAAAAGGAACTCATCCTGCCTGACTGCTCTGAGCTCACACTCAGTCTTTTCCTACCTTCCGGCTCAAACTGAAACACTGGGTCTTCTTGGGTCTTGAGCCTTCTGGCTCTTGGAATGGAACGACACCCACTGGCTCTTCTGGGTCACCGGCTTGCCAACTGCAGGTTTTGAGACTTCTCAGCTTCGACAATCATACAAACTAATTCCTTGTAATAAATCTGCAACCCCCTCCCCCCACATCCTATTGGTTCTGCTTCTCTGGAGAACCCTGATTAATACACTGACTAGGCCGGGCGCGGCGGCTCAGGCCTGTAATCCTAGCACTCTGGGAGGCCGAGGCAGGAGGATAGTTTGAGCTCAGGGGTTCGAGACCAGCCTGAGCAAGAGCGAGACCCCCGTCTCTACTAAAAATAGAAAGAAATTAATTGGCCAACTAAAAATATATATATATATATATATTATATGTAGAAAAAAATTAGCCGGGCATGGTGGCACATGCCTGTAGTCCCAGCTACTTGGGAGGCTGAGGCAGGAGGATCGCTTGAGCCCAAGAGTTTGAGGTTGCTGTGAGCTAGGCTGACACTGAGGCACTCTAGCCCGGACAACAGGGCGAGACTCTTTATTTATAAATAAAAATAAATAATAAAAAAATAAATAAATAATAAAAAATAAATAAAAATAAATAAATAAATAAAACTACTGTCCAGTATGATCCGAGATGTCTGTCAGATTGATAAAATTGTACACTTGAAGAAAAATGGTACCTGAGAGCTACAATGTTTTCCAAGAGACATTCAGATATGTTCTGAATGAGAAGTCAGAGACAAAAGGATAGGCAGAGATCATCCGATTCCCCACCCCTGTTTCTTGCTAAAAAAGCAATCAATGTCACCAATAGCCTTTCTAAAATGACCCTTTTTTCCCTGTGTTTCCGTGGTTTAAAAAAACAAAAGAAAAAAAAAAAAAGAAAAGAAAAGAAAATGACCCTTTTTTACCCCACAAAATAGTCCAGGAACTTCTGAACGCTGGGAGACAGTTTCCAAAGACCAAGGGAGAATGCTGAGAAAGCCACACTGCAACAGAGAGGGAAGTCAATGTGGTGTAGCAGATGCAAGAGTTAAAAATATTTCCTTAGGTAGAGCAAGGGGGCTCACGCCTGTCATCCTAGCACTCAGGGAGGCCGAGGCTGGAGGATGGCTCAAGGTCAGGAGTTTGAAACCAGCCTGAGCAAGAGCGAGACCCCCCGTCTCTACTAAAAATAGAAAGAAATTAATTGGCCAACTAAAAATATATACAGAAAAAATTAGCTGGGCATGGTGGCGCATGCCTGTAGTCCCAGCTACTCGGGAGGCTGAGGCAGGAGGATCGTTTGAGCCCAGACAGTTTGAGGCTGTTGTGAGCTAGGCTGATGCTACGGCACTCTAGCCCCAGGAAACAGAGTAAGACTCTGTCTCGAAAAATATATATATTTCTCTCCCATTGTGTGCTTTGTCCTTTCACTTTCTTGCTAGAGTTTTCTGAAGCAAGAAGCTTTTAAATAAAGCTTTTAATAGCTTTATTTAGACTTTTGATGAAGTCTAATTGACCTATTATTTCTTTTGTCATTGTCTAACTCAAGATCATGAAGATTTACTCCCAAAAAGTCCCCAAACAACAAATGCTGGTGTGGATGCAGAGAGAGAGGAACACTCCTACACTGCTGGTGGGACTGCAAACTAGTTCAACCTCTGTGGAAAGCAACATGGAGATACATCAAAGCGAGACAAGTGGATCTACCATTTGATCCAGCAATCCCACTACTGGGCATCTACCCAAAAGAACAAAAGTCACTTTATGAAAAAGACACCTGCACTCGAATGTTTATAGCAGCACAATTCACAATTGCAAAGCTGTGGAAACAACCCAAGTGCCCATCAATTCATGAGTTCATTAATAAAATGTGGTATATGTACACCATGGAGTACTATTCAGTTTTAAGAAACAACGGTGATCTAGCACCTCTTATTTTCCTGGCTAGAGCTGGAACCCATTCTGCTAAGTGAAGTATCTCAAGAATGGAAAAACAAGCACCACATGTACTCACCAGCAAATTGGTACTAACGGATCAACACCTAAGTGGACACATAGGAATGACATCTATCGGGTGTCGGGCAGGTGGGAGGGGGTAGGAGGGGATGGGTGTATACAAATATAAGGAGTGAGATGTGCAACGTCTGGGGGATGGACACGCTTGAAGCTCTTACTCGAGGGGGGAGGGGACATGGGCAATATACGTAAGCTTAACACTTGTACCCCCATAATATGCTAAAATAATAAAAAAGGATTTACTCCTATGTTTGCTTTTAAGGGTTTTATAGTTTTATTTCTTACATATAGGTCTTTGACCCATTTGGAGTACATTTTTATATGTTGTGTGAGATAAAGATCCAACTTTATCCTTTTGCACTTTATCCTTTTCCTCTTTCCTCTGCGTAATTGTCCTGGCAAGATTATGAAGATCTTTAGACCAAAAATCAGGATTTATTCCAATCTCTCTCCTTTGCTCTATAAGTCTACCTTTGTGGTTGAGCATACTAGTAAATATAATTAAGTGATTAGGAACTCTTTGCTTAAAACTGCTATGGACTTAGATAGCAATCACTGCTTTTATTTAGTTATTTATTTTTACTGTATCTTTTTTCCCCAGCATATTATGGGGGGGGGGGTAGCAATCACTGCTTTTAATGCGATTCTCAATCTTTTAAGGCACCGCATCTCACTGGCGTTTGATTTTAGTGCAAACTTTCCAGGTGTGCTAAATGATTATAAACTCTTCTTAAAAAAAAAAAATTAAAGTGAATGAAAATAAATTGCTTTGAAGAGTGCTAAAAAAAAAAAAAAAGAAAGTTCAAGATATCCTGGGCCGTGACATATTCGAGGAAGCAATATTCATCCCTGGCCTGGCTGGTTGGCGACATTAATTCGAACGCCTCCCAGCTTCCTCTTGGGGACGGTACTCACAAAGTTGGGGAGGACCGAGTTTCCACTCGCATCAGCTGTTTTCTCTGCGCTGAGAAAATCCTGCAGCCCTTACAATTTCCGGCCCCTCCTTCCCGGGGTGCAAGGAACAAATTGAGTTTTTACTGTCAAAGCTGGGACGGAGCAGCGCAGCCCGGTGGCTCTGCCGGCCCCCCCTGCGCCTTGGACGCGTCGCTCGGGTCTGGAAGTCGCCAAGGTCACCTCTGCGGGAGTGACCCTGTGCGGCGCTGCCCCACCTGCGCCTCCAGCCTTCCCCCGCGCGAGCGACGCAGCCCGCGAGCCTCGGCTGGCGGGGACACCCCTGGTTTGGGGTCCGACCTGTCCCTCCCGGGCGCTGGCGGTGGCTGCGGTGCCAGCGGGCCGGGCACCACGATTTGGGCCCGATGGTGGGGTCTGAGCCCGCAGGACCCTGCGCTGGGACTCCTGTCCCCGCCGGCCGGTTGGCAGCGTCGTCCGGCCGCTGCAGGTGACGGTGGCGCGCCGGCCGGAGCCGCGCTGGCAAAGGGGCGCAGCGCGCACAGGTGGCGCGGCCCGGCCGGGGCAGGCAGGGATGGGTGTGGCGGGGACGGGCGCGGACGGAGCGGCCACACCCCGCCTGGGCTCGGCACGTGGGCTGCCGGCGGCTCTGCTCGGGGACGCGGGGACCGGCAGAGGGTGCAGGCGCGCGGAGGGGACCCGGGCCGCGCAGCTTTCCTGGAAAGCGTCGCCCGGCTACGCGGCGATGGCCTCCCTGTGGCGAGAGATCCTCCTGGAGACCCTGCTGGGTGAGCTGGGGTCCCCCTGTCGCCAGCGCGCGCGCGGGTGGCGGCTGCGTGCTGCGCCCCGGGCGCTCGGTGCGCGGGATGGAGAGACGCGTGTCGTCCCCCGGGAACCGCAGCTTTGGGAGGGAAGGAAGGACAAGACCTCGACTGAAGTCCCCAAGCCGCCGAGCAGGCTGCCAGGCGCCCGCGGGGACGACGCCCCCAGAGTCCCCAACGCAGCCCGGGCTGGAGCCAAAGAGGCGCCAGTTCTCCCCGCGGCGGCCTTGAACCCGCGCGGCCGGTCCCCCCTGCGACCCACCCCCGGCCCCCGTGACCTCTAAGTCTAATATCACTCAGTGCTGAACTTGAACTTCCAGAAGGGAAAGGGCACCCGTGTCCCCGCGGGACTGCAGGCGACCCCGGCCGCGGCTGTCCGGCGCCCTGGGCGGGCGCACGCTCGGGCGCGTGGCGGAAAGCCTCGCGCGCTCGCTTTGCAATTTTAACAAAAAGCCCCGTGCACAGGGATCGGCGGGATTCTGTTCGAGCTGCACGCTTAAAACCAGAGTCCCCAGAGCAACTAGCATCCCGGGGTTCGTTGTGAAACCGGGATCGCCCCTGGTCTGGGCGGGGCGCCTCCCGGAGAACCGGATTTTCTGGACGCCGGTTGCAGACTGCTGTCCCTGCTCGGACTGGATCTCCTAAGCCTGGAGACGTCAAGCGCCCGGCATGCAATAAGTACCGCAGGTGCTCGGTGCTCCGTGTAGCTGATGTCATTTAATCCTCCCAGCAACTCTGCGAGGGGGTCCCAAGTCCTGTTTGCGCTGATGACAAAAGGGAGGTTGGAAAGTAACTTGGGGGGAAGGTGACACAGGTACAGGTGAGACAGGCTGCATTTGGGAGCCAGACTGCTCGGATTTAAGTTGCCTCTGCGGGGCTTTTTTGTTTGTTTGTTTGTTTTTGGCTGCTTCTGTGACTCCAGGCAATTGCTTTAAGTTTCTGAGTTGCAGAGTTTTGTTTGTTTGTTGTTTTGTTCCTGTTTTTGCATTTGTAAGAGGGGGATAGAAAGAATACCCACTTCCTAAGCCATCAGGCTGTGTGAGCGCCAAGATCTGAGTTAACACTTAGCACAGAGACTACTAGCACGTGGGACGTGTCCATTAGCGTTAGTTATTACTGCACACGATTGCAACAGTCACTCGCGGGCAGAGGGGAAACTGACTTCGCATCCGGGTACTCCGCTATCTGCCACTGCCTCCTAAGAGTGGGGCTGAAAATCATCTACTCCAGGGGTCCTCAGACTTTTTAAACAGGGGGGGCCCAGTTCACTGTCCCTCAGACCATTGGAGGGCCGGATTATAGTTTAAAAAACAACTATGAACACATTCCTATGCACACTGCACATATCTTATTTTGAAGTAAAAAAAACAAATGGGCAAAAACACCTGCATGTGGCCGGCGGGCCATAGTTTGAGGACGCCTGGAGGGAAGAATAGTTGTCTAATTAAAGTGCTTCTGGGTGTGATCTGGGGTGGGAAGAAGGGTCCTGCTGTTTGGTTGTTTGTTGCTCTTTTTTTTTTTTTTTTTTAGACAGAGTCTCACTCTGTTGCCCGAGGCTAGATCAGCCTAGCTCACAGCAACCTCCAACTCCTGGGCTCAAGCGATCCTCCTGTCTCAGCCTCCCTAGTAGCTGGGACTACAGGCATGCGCCACCAATGCCCGGCTAATTTTTTTCTTTATATTTTTAGTTGGCCAATTAAATTCTATCTATTTTTAGTAGAGACAGAGATCTCCTTCTTGCTCAGGCTGGTCTCGAACTCCTGACCTTGAGCAATCCTCCGTCCTCGGCCTCCCCAGAGTGCTAGGATGACAGGCGTGAGCCACCACGCCCGGCCCATTGCTCTTGTTGATTTTCATGATTTTTCTCATGATATAGGGGTCAACATAGGTAAGGAAATTTGACCAATCAGTGTCCTGACTGGAAGCCAAATTCAACACAGATGGTCCAAATGAACGGGGCTTGATAAAGGGACTGACTGGAGTGACACGGCCATGGTTAAAGGAACAGACGGGAGGTGCTGAGGGACTTACCACAGGGGCTGGGGGAGGAATTCTATTCCTGGAGCCCAGCTAAGGCCAGAGTCGGGAAGGAGAGTAGGAGTGGAGGGGCAGGACTCCTTCTAGAAACTGAAAGGGGGAAGGAATGACCCAAAGGACACATGCCACACACAGGCTATGTAACCACACGGGGACAGCCAACTGCCTCCCACCTGCCCTGTTCAGTTGTTTCCGGGCCAAACGGGCAGGCGAAGAATTGCTTCTTGCTACGTGGGCGCAGAACAGCTGTTTGTAGTGAATTCTCCTTCAAACAACCAACTCCAGTGGCCCCTTTGCCCCGCTGGCATTGTCCTTCTGCTCTGGCTCTGTCCTTATCATCGGCTGGCCTTTATCTCTATCCAGGAGGGAGGGAGAGGAATGCTGGCTGCACCTGTCTGTGAGCTCTACAAATTTCTGGAACTCTCCAGACTCCTGCGGGGTATTGTTTCACAAGCCTAAGTTTTGCATTAACCGCATTCTGTCCTACCTGCATTTGTCGTGCTCCCACCTGGAACAAACCTAACAGAAGCAATGTCAAAGTGACACTTTCTCTTTTTAAAAAAAAAATTTTTTTTTTTTTTTTGCAGGATATGTGTCTTGGTCCCTCTACCATGACCTGGCACCAATGATCTACTACTTTCCTCTGCAAACGCTAAAACTCACAGGGCTTGAAGGTTTCGGTGTAGCGTTCCTTTCTCCAGTATTACTGACTAATGCTTCCTTCTGGAAATTGGTTAACAAGAAATGGATGCTAGCTCTGTTGCGGATAATTACTGTGGGTAAGATCTCAAAGTGTGTCTTTAAGATTTTTTTTATTTTATTTAGTATTTGAAAGTCAAGTGAAGTGCTGTAGACTGTTCTTTGAATGCTAAATAACTGAATTAAAAAATAAAAATCAAAGATTTCTTTTTCCCTTATTACAGGTAGAGTATTTTTATCCAAAATGATTGGGACCAGAAGTGTTTTGGATTCTGGATTTTTTTTTTTTTTACATTTTTTTTTTAACGTTTTGGAATATTTGCGTTTATGCGTATACATGAAGCATACTAAGTCCGATAATCCAAAGTTTGAAATGCTCCAATCAGTATTTCTTTCAGTGGCATGTTGATGGTCAAGAAATTATTTTTTTGGAAACAAGAGTCTCACTCTGTTGCCTGGGCTAGAGTGCCATGGCGTCAGCCTCGCTCACAGCAACCTCAAACTCCTGGGCTCAAGCGATCCTCCTGCCTCAGCCTCCCTAGTAGCTGGGACTACAGGCATGCGACACCATGCCCAGCTAATTTTTTCTATATATATTTTTAGTTGTTTGGCTAATTTCTTTCTATTTTTAGTAGAGATGAGGTCTCGCTCTTGCTCAGGCTGGTCTCAAACTCCTGGGCTCAAATGATCCTCCTGCCTCTGCCTCCCAGAGTGCTAGGATTACAGGCATGAGCCACTGCGCCTCACCTCCTCAAAATATTAAACAGAGTTTTTTGGTATATACCCAGGAAAAATGAAAACATTTGTTGACACAAAAACTTGAACACAAATGTTGGTAGCAGCGTTATTCATAAGAGCCAAAAATGTACACTTCAACTGATGATGAATGGATAAACAAAATGCAATAGATACATGCAATGTGGAATATTATTTAGCCATGAAAAGGAGGGAAGCCCAGATATCTGCCACAACACAGATTAACCTTCAAAACATTCTGCGAAGGGAAGGAAGCTAGTCACAAAAGGCCACATATAAAATGTGTGTGTCCATATAAAATGCCCAGAAAAGGAAAATTCCATAGAGACAGAAAGTAGGTGAGTGATTGCCAGGGGCTGAGGCAGGGGTAGGAGGGAACGAGGGGTGACTGTTAGTGGGTATGGGGCTTTCTTTTTTGGGGTGATGAGAATGTTCTGGAATTAGATAGTGGCGATAGTTGCACGACTTTGTGAGTGTACCAAAACCCCACTGAACCGTGTGCTTTACCGTGGTGAGTTTGTTGGCATGCGAATTATATCTCAATAAAGATTTTAACCGTCTTTGTATAATCACATATTAATTCCATCTTCCTGGGTGTAATAAAGATGGTGTGAGACAACATTTATCCGCTGCAGACCGTGGAATTCCAATGCATGCCTGCCAGAAATGCTTTGCTCTCCTTCACTTTTTTGTAGGCAGCGTGGCCTCCTTCCAGGCTCCGAATGCTGCCCTTCGACTGGCTGTCCTTGCCCTTGGCGTGTCTTCCTCTCTGATAGTGCACGCCGTCACTTGGTGGTCAGGAAGCAGTTTGCAAAGGTATGGCTCCTATCGTATGCACTTACACACAAATAAGTGTGATCGCTTTCCAAAGACAGGGCCAGGAGCTCCCAGTTACCGTTTCCACCTTCCATAGAGCCTTGGAGCAGTCTTTTTTTTTTTTTTTGAGACAGAGTCTCGCGTTGTTGCCCAGGCTAGAGTGAGTGCCGTGGCGTCAGCCTTGCTCACAGCAACCTCAAACTCCTGGGCTCAAGCGACCCCCTCATCCTCCGAGTCTTGGGACACAGGCATGCACACCATGCCGATAATTTATATATAGTACTAGTTGGCAATTACTTTTGTTTCTATTATGTAGAGACGCGCTCTTCTCAGGCTGTTCCGAACTCCGACTGAGCAATCACTCTCGCCCCAGAGTGCTGGATTACGGTGAGACAGCGCCAGCTTGAGAGTCTTTTTGTTCTCCTTAGGATGGAATATTGCCTCAATTCTTAATAATTTCTTTTTGGTGAGTGCCGGTGCGTCAGCCTAACTCGCAGCACCTCAAACTCTGGCTAGCGGACCCCTCTCCTGCTCAGCTCCCGAGTAGACGACTACAGCAGCGCTACATGCCGGCAATTTATATATATATATTCATTGCCATAATTCTTTCTATTTATAGTAGAGACTGGGCTGTCTTGTCAGGTGGTTTGACCCTGACATTGAGCATCGCCGCTCGGCCGTCCAGAGAGCTAGTTGCAGGCTGGGATGCACCCCCGACTGACTCCATTATATGGGCAAGGAAAAAGAAGGTTTCTTCCACTAGATATAGATTTTTTTTCTGTTGCCCAGGGTAGAGTGCCATGGCCTCAGTCCCTACGCTCGCAGCACGGCAAACTCCTGGGTTCAGCGATCTCCTGCCTCAGCTCCGAGTAGCTGGACTACGGCAAGCGCCACCCATGCCGCTGATTTTTCTGTATAGTATGTGTTGCCATTATCCTTTTGATTTTTAGAGAGATGGGGGGGTCCATCTTGCGCAGGCTGTTGAACTCGACCTTGAGCGACCCTGGTCGGTCGAGAGTGCTGAAGATTACACGGGGTGAGCACTCGCGCTGGCTCTAATAGTTGTTGAGATAAAAAAGAATAACAAGTTCTAGGCGATGGTGCTATATGAGCCACATGCCTTATGTAAATTAGCACAACGATATTCGAGCAATATCATTCTGGAAATTGAAATTCTGATGGACATAGGAAATTGACCAATGAAAGTATTGAAATCCTTTTCCTTAGCAGGGTACCTCAGAATCGGGGATTTCATTATAGACAATTCTTTTGTGTTGTCCGCTATGGTACACTCACTAACGCGATCTAGTTACCAAGGTGTCCACAAGTATCTGACATTCAGTGCTCCCCTCGCGCATTGCCACAGGTAAGTGCATGTGCGTTCCTGTAGGGATTTTCTCTCTTGCAGAGTTGGCCCTTCCTATATGAATGTTGATCATTTGAAAGAAATCATTAAAATAGTTTTCTGCACGTAATCTTCCATTTTAGTTTTCTCTCCTTCTGAACTGGCGCAGCTATAGCCTTTCCTTCTCCCTCCCTCCCTCTTCTTCCCTCCTCCCCCCTCCTCCTCCTCTCCCTTCTCCCTCCCTGCCTCCTCTCTCCTCCCCTCCTCTCCTCCTCCCCTCCTCCTCCTGTCTTCCCTTCCTTTCTTCCCTTCCTTCCTTCTTCCTTCCCTCTCATCTCTCGTCCCTCTGGGGTGAGGAGGCGATCCAAGCCAGAGTTCGACAGCTGGCAAAGCCCGACCCCGTCTCTACTAAAGTGAAACAAAATGACCAACAACATAGAAAAAAAATAGCCCGGCGGGTGGCATGCTGTATCACACTATCGGAGGCGCTGAGGAGAGGACGGCGTTGAGCCCGAGTTGAGGGTTCGTGACTCAAGGTGACCACGCCTCCCCTAGCCAGGCACGAAGGTGGAGACCTGTTCATAAAAAAAAAAAAAACCCTCCTATCTAGGGGCAGAAACTCAGGCATTGCATTCCCCAAATACAGCTTGATGGGGGCTGGACTCCAGGGTATTTTTCGCATTTCCTGCCTTGAGTTTTCTTCTTTCTGGCCCCTTTTAAATCTGCGCGATGCGGTTGCTGGCTGGCTGTTCCTTCCTCTGTCTGCCTTCTGCCCCCATTTATCAAACTCTGACTCTTCACCAGCTTCTTCAAGACATGGGAGCGTACTGGGTGGTTGTCGTGGTTTTATTTGAAGATTTGTTGGGTCCTGGGGGGTTGGGGTTCCCCCGCCCCAGGTGCACACTCAGTGCACCCCGCCTCCTTGCTCCTAAGACTGCCGAGCCTCCGTCTCTGGCCTCCATTCCGTCCTCATCCCCTGCTCCTACCCCAGCCATCTGCTCCTCCTTCCTCTCATCCCACTGCTCTCAGAGGAACCTTCTTCCTTGTGAAATGAGAATTCCAGGCTCGCAGTCAGACCCTGAGGCTTCCTTCCGCCCCAATCCGCAGAGGGCTTCGGGCTCTCTCTCCGTTCCTACAAAGAAATGTCCCTGCCGGCATTTTCTCCAGCCTGTTTCCTGAAGCCACTAACGCGAGGAATGGGGACCTGTTGCTTAGACAGCAGGGTGAAGTAGGATACAGCCAAGGAGCCACGTGGCCTAAGCTCAAGTCCCAGCTTGTCGGTTTCTCTTTACTGGCTGTGTGACCTCGTGCAAGTTCCTTGGTCTCTCTGGGCCTGTTCCCTAATCTGTAAAATGGGATCAGTCATAAATTAGCATAAATTAGCATAAATTAGCGACAGAGCCGGGCACATTCCACTCATGTTGGACCACACGTATGCATGCATGTCATGCATTTTTTTTTGCATGTATTTTTGCATTGCATGATTTTCTGCATTTTCACATGTCAAATTCCAAACTGTTTGTTCTCCCTTAAACCTCTCCTTATTTAGCTGGCCTGATTCAAGCCACTGAGTGGCCGCCAGCACATTCTACTTCGTCCTGTTGGCTGCATGTCTCGCCTTGTCCTCTGCCCTAAGCTTCTTGAAGCCAGGTACCATTTCTTAACTTGCTCTGAGTCTGTTAAATACAGACCGTAAGTTTCTGTGTCACTGTACCCTTTTCCATTTTTTTTTTCTTTTCGTTCTAGATAGCAACTGCAGTCGAGCCGAGGGAAGGAAGGCTGTCGAGACTGCCACGGGGACAGCTTCTAGACCCAGCTGGCTGGTGGCAGGGGCGGCCTTTGGTAGCCTTGTGTTCCTCACCCACTGGATTTTTGGAGAGGTGTCCCTTGTGTCCAGATGGGCCGTGAGTGGGCACCCCAGCCCCGGGCCGGACCCTAACCCCTTTGGGTGAGTTTGAGGTTGGGAAGCAATGGACACATGGGCAGTTGTGGTCGGAGGAAGAAATCCCTCCTTTGTGGGACGGCTGGATCTGGCTCGCCAGGTGTTGGTTTCCTGCCCAGTCTAGAGATCAAACCCAACATGGCATCAGATCTCGTGAGCTCGGGCGACCAGGGAGCCAGACTGGCATTTGTCCCCGTGCCGAAGGATCGAAGGAGGCCTGAGGCTTGTTCCCAGCGACCTGAGGGGTTCCTGGAGCTCCCGCACGGGCACTCTGGGGAATCCCTCTGCACAGAAGAGCATGTTCCGGGTGAAGAAGGTGCAGCTGGCCATTTCTTCCAGAACCTTCCGGTTACAGTTAGGGTGCTGGGTAGGACGAGATCGCAGTGCCCTGACGAGGCTCTCTTGGGACAGAGATCTCTATTTTCTGCAAAGGAGAGAAGCCCTGGAGATCTCGGCGTCTTCTGGTTTGTTGGGACTTGTTGCAACCATGGGGCACACGAGGAGTTGGCAGAATTGGGTCGAAGTGTCGGTCCTCGTGAACCCTCTCTCTACTAACGCCTCTTTTCCCCTGGGACCTGGGCATCTGGGCGTGTCCCACAGGCTGCTCAGCCTCCTGTGTCTAAATCTGGGCTCAGCTTCTTCTTGCCACACCCTGGTCCACTCTGTGTGCCCATCTTGTTTTTTTTTTTTGAGACAGAGTCTCACTCTGTCGCTCAGGCTAGAGTGAGTGCCGTGGCGTCAGCCTCGCTCACAGCAGCCTCCAACTCCTGGGCTCAAGCGATCCTCCTGCCTCAGCCTCCCAGATAGCTGGGACTACGGGCGTGAGCCACCATGCCCAGCTATTTTTTTTATATATATATGTTTTTAGTTGGCCAATTAATTTCTTTCTATTTTTAGTAGAGACTGGGTCTCACTCTTGCTCAGGCTGGTTTCGAACTCCTGACCTTGAGCGATCCTCCTGCCTCGGCCTCATAGAGTGCTGGGATTACAGGCGTTAGCCACTGCGCCTGGCCAGAGTGCCATGGTTTTTTTTTTTTTAGCTTAATTTACCTTACAGCTATTTATTGAGTGCTATGTGGTAGCTATTTTTCCTGCTGGATTTTCCCCTAACATTTAAATTCTTTTTTTTTCCCTTCTCCTACAAATTTTTGCCAAAACACCAAAAGAGCGAAATAGGTAGTGGTTGTTTTGAAAAACACTCCACTATCCATTATTTATCGAACTGATATTGGTCTTGGGAAGGCAGAGAACATAGACAAGAACAGTAGCGAGGTAGAGAAAAAAGAAAAAAAGGCAAACTAGATAGAAACTATCCCAAGGACGTTTTCTTTTTGTCTTAGGTGGAGTCATTTAAAATGTTACGTGACCAATATGGACAATAATTTAATCGTTTGAGCAAACTCAATCACTGTGTTTGCACTGATCATGGTGAGACTACAGATGTCATTGACTTCAAATCAGAATTTTTATTACTGTAATACTCTACATGTGCACAATATTGGTTCCCACTGGGCTCTCACGATCAGATTGCTCTTTTCAGGCTTCTATTGTCTTTGTTGGATGTGCCTTGAGGTAGGATTTATATTGTATGTGTGACAACTGAAATATTAATAATGTCAAATGTCTTAAGCATCTCCTTTTTATTTTTTTCCACAGAGGTGTCATTCTGCTGGGCTTGGCGAGTGGATTGATGCTCTCAGGTTGTTCGTGGCTTCGTGGGACTATTAATAGTTTGGTCTGGTGGGTGACAGGTATGTGAGATTTACCCGCAGATATACCACCGCTGAGCTTGGCTGTCCACCTTGCTTGCAAACACGTGCGACTAGGCAGGAAGTAGACGCAGCCACACAGATATGTACTGTGGTCAGTCGGGCTGTTAAAACCAGCTGCAGCAGCTGTGACCAGATGTCACCCACGTCACCGGTGACTATCTGCCCCAGGTCCCTGCTTCTTCCTGCTTCACGGTCCCTCTCCTCTGGTGGCTGTCTCATTCCCAGGACTACACTGTCCTAATATATCTCCCTTAAAGACACTTATGCATGGCTGGGTGTTATGGCTCACGCCTGTCATCCTAGCACTCTGGGAGGCCGAGGCGGGAGGATCGCTCAAGGTCAGGAGTTCGAGACCAGCCTGAGCAAGAGGGAGACCCCCGTCTCTACTAAAAATAGAAAGAAATTAATTGGCCAACTAAACATATATATATATATAAAATTAGCCAGGCGTGGTGGTGCAGGCCTGTAGTCCCAGCTACTCAGGAGGCTGAGGCAGGAGGATCGCTTGAGCCCAGGAGTTGGAGGTTGCTGTGAGCTAAGCTGATGCCACGGCACTCTAGCCTAGGCAACAAAAGTGAGGCTCTGCCAAAAAAAAAAAAAAAAAAACCTAAAAAAAACCATTTATATTATGCCTTTGCTCATAGAATATAAGCAAAGTGCTTCTTAGGCAGTTCATTGACAGCTTCATGTTAAACATGGGAAAACAGAGGGACACAGAAGAAACGTAGATGGTTAGTTAAAAAAACAAAGAAAGCTGTGAACTTAGGCTTATTGCCCCAGATGAGTAAGGTCGTATTCTTGAGAGTCAAACCTAACCTAGTTTGGTGGTCTCTCTGGAGTATTAAAAAGCAGTTTTAGAGGCTCAGAGGCAAGCAGATTTAAGACTTCCAGTAGGCTCACCGCAGTAAGGGAAAGTAGGGTCATGATTCACCAGCTCCATCTCCCCTCCGACCGCCCACTCACCCAAACCGAGCTGGAGCGCACACTTAACTACCGGGGGCGGATGCCCACTTTTCACTGGGATTCAACTCTGGAAACCACCACGATAAAGCAGACTGGATCAAAAGGAATCGTGTTTTCCCGTTGTGCTGTGTAAGCTTGCAGTCCCGCCTGGAGGCTCGGCATGAAGTTAATTATGGCAGTGACTGCAGAATTTCATGAAAGCAAAGATACAGGAGCTTCACATCGTGCTAGCAATTAAATTAGTAAAATCACAGTTCTATCAACAAGAAGGCATAGATGTAGTAAATGTATTGATAGGACCCCAGCTTAGTTATTTTATTTTATTTTGAGACAGAGTCTTACTCTGTTGCCCTGGCCAGAGTGCCGTGGCATCAGCCTCGCTCACAGCAACCTCAAACTCCTGGACTCAAACGATCCTCCTGCCTCAGCCTCCCGAGTAGCTGGGACTACAGGCATGCGCCACCATGCCCGGCTGATTTTTTCTCTATATGTATTTTAGTTGGCCAATTAATTTCTTTCTATTTATAGTAGAGACGGGGGTCTCGCTCTTGCTCAGGCTGGTTTCGAACTCCTGACCTCGAGCGATCCTCCTGCCTCGGCCTCCCAGAACATTAACCTTGCTAGTTAATTTTCTCATCTGTCTGGAGATCAGACTGGTCTACCCGTAATGTCCATTCTGGCTCTAAATGGCTATAAGTCGGTCACCCTATAAGCTTTCCTGCTTTCCTGTCTGATTCTTCTTTCTTTTTCTCGTTCACAAACAGGAGCGGCCTCCGCTGCGGGTCTCCTTTACCTGCACAGGTGGGCGGCGGCCGTGTCCGGCTGCGTGCTGGCCATCTTCACTGCATCCGTGTGGCCTCAAGCGCTTGGGCAACTTATCAGTTCGGGGACAAACCCCGGGAAGACCATGACCACCGCCACGCTATGTTATCTTATGGAAATATTTTTCTGTGCCTGGTGCACAGCTTTTAAGTTCGTCCCAGGAGGTGTTTATGCTCGAGAAAGATCTGATGTGCTTTTGGGTGAGTACATTTGTTCATTGCTTCATTTCAAAGGTCTGGATTTGGCCGGGCGCGGTGGCTCACGCCTGTCATCCTAGCACTCTGGGAGGCCGAGGCGGGAGGATCGCTCAAGGTCAGGAGTTCGAAACCAGCCTGAGCGAGACCCCGTCTCTACCAAAAATAGAAATAAATTAATTGACCAACTAAAAATATATATACAAAAAATTAGCCGGGCATGGTGGCACATGCCTGTAGTCCCAGCTACTAGGGAGGCTGAGGCAGGAGGATCGCTGAGCCCCGGAGATTGAGGTTGCTGTGAGCCAGGCTGACGCCACGGCACTCACTCTAGCCTGGGCAACAAAGTGAGACTCTGTCTCAAAAAACAAAACAAAACAAAAAAAAAATAGATAGAATTTAATTGGCCAACTAAAAATATATAGAAAAAATTAGCCGGGCATGGTGGCGCATGCCTGTAGTCCCAGCTACTCGGGAGGCTGAGGCAGGAGGATCGTTTGAGTCCAGGAGTTTGAGGTTGCTGTGAGCGAGGCTGACGCCACGGCTCTCTAGCTGGGGCAACAGAGTGGGACTCTGTCTCAAAAAAGCAAAAATCCCTACTGTCCCTGCCCACCTGGAGCTTTAGTCACGTGGAGGAAACACAACAGGTAAACGAGACAGTTACTTATGACATTTTAGCTGGGCGATTGCTACCCATGACAGGTGCCGGTTTCTCCATGGGTTCTGTTGCCTTCCCCCTTTGATCCTGATACACAGCAGAAAATATACTCTGTGCAGAAAACATACTCTGTGCAGAAAACATACTCTGTGCAAAATATTTTCTGTGCAGAAAATATACTCTGCATATTTTCATATAAATTCTTCTACCCTATGAGCTAGACATCCGAAGGCTGGATGTATTTTTAAATGACATGAAATATTTTAGAACCAACTCTTGAGAATTTGATATTTCTGGTAAATACCCAGGCTCTCAGCTAGTTAGAGAAACACACACTGCTGCATTTCCTCTGCGGTAACCTTGGCTTTGCAAACTTTTGCATTTCTTCTGGTTTCTTTCAGGTGGGTGTACTCTCTCCTGCTCTATTTTCCTGTCCAGCGCCCTGCTTTTTTCTTATTCCAGCTTGCTTAGGGGTCTGCCGTGAGAAGAAAACAAATGAAAGTAAGAGTCATTCTGTGCAGAAGTTTGTTTTATTTATTTTTTATTCTTTTTTTATTTTTAAAAAATTTTAATCTTTTTCTTTTTTTATTTAAAATTTCTATTTTCTTTAATTTTTTTTTCTTTTTCTTTCATCTTTGTGGTAAGGATAATAGAAGTTTGTTTTAGAGTGTTATGAATGATGAGCTTTTTGAGATCCTTCTCACTACTTATGGGATTGTGGAAACTGTGCACTATTACAACTTCATGCAACTGAGAACGTTTTTTTTTTTTTTCCCAGTGTGAGTGACATTATATCGATGAGGCCACAAAAGCCAAGGCATGTTGGCAATGTTCAGAGTAGCTTTTACTATCACCGAATTGAAAAGAATCTGTATAATATCAGCAACCAGTTATACACTTATTTTCTAGGTTTTTCCTGCTATTTCCTGAAAATTGGACATACGTTTTTTTGCTAGCCTTCCACCTAAGCTTAACTTTTACTTAGCATTTCTTAATTTATGTATTGTGCCCAATCTCTGTCTCCAGTCTTTATTACGGATGATTTTAGAAGCATGTAAATCTCACACGTAAGCTAGTTTGGAGTATGTCCCAATTTAGCTTGACTTTATTGGCCAGCCTATTGGCACAGCTTGAGTTCTGGCATGCATCAGAGAACCCTTGCCCAGAGATGCCAATCAGCTATGAGCATGAGGAATTACCCAATCAGCGGTGGGATTCAAAAAGCGTCCAATCAGCAACAAGCTTTACATATCCAATCAGCAACGAGCTTTACATATCCAACCAGCAGTGGGATTCAAAAACTATCCAATCAGTAGTGAGTTCAGCCCTGGGGCCCTGGGGTGGGGTTTTTTTCCCCTATCAGCACCGCCATATTACAAACCTACATCTGGTCCACTTGGTTCATGGGCAGGCTCTTATTGTGTCCCTGTGGCAGCTCCAAAGTTTCCACTGTCTCTACCCAATCAACAGCCAGTCATGAAGACCATCAGCAACCTAACAACTAGGAAATAGTCAGGAAATTCAAAGAAATCCCTCAACAGGAAAAGGCTGGAGTCCTCCCATTTAAACCGTAATTCCTAGAACCCTACCTGATTTCTTATGATCATCCCAGTTATCGAAAGCTCTGCTAGAGTAACTGCCTAGGCATGGAGATAAATTAATTCGGTAGCTGAAATTTTCAGGTCATGGTTCCTTTAAAAGAAATCTTAGGTCCTGCAATTTACTTTGGCGGGATTTCCGGGTTAAATTATAAGATGTTTCTTTCTCTTTTAACAGGGACAATCATGCTAACTATTGGGCTGAACATGCTCTGTGGTCCTAGGAAAAACCTTGACTTTCTTCTTCAAACGAAAAATAGTCCTAAAGTGCTTTTCAGGAAGAGTGAAAAATACATGAAACTTTGTAAGTATAGTTTTATTTTCTTCTAAAAAACACTTATTATATAAAATTGCAAACATATGAAATTAAAAAGTAGAATGAACTCTCATGTACTCTTCATCCAGTTTCAACAATTATCAAAATTTTGCCAATGTTATTAACAGCTGTCTTCTTTACTTTTCCTGTTTGTTCAAGTACTGTAAAGCAAATCCCTGATATCTTGTCACTGGAACCATAAATACTCTGTATTAGTTTTATTTCACTTCTAAAATAGATACCGTATGTCCCAGAAAATAAGCCCTAGCAGGATTTCTAAGCATGTGCCCAATAGAAGCCCTACCCCGAAAATCAGCCCTAGTGAGGGGCGTGGCTATGAAAATCAGCCCCAGTGATGGGCGTGGCTGCGCAGCGCATCTGCACAACCCATGCGTGTCATTGCAGAGCGGGGGAAAAGACACGAGCAGCCCTTCTCATCTGTCCCGTGAGAGCTCTAGTGCTCCACAGGAGAGATCGGGGCCAGTGGTGCTAAAGGAAATAGAGTCGCAAGACATTCGGGATGGGATTCGGGGTTTGGAGAGTGAGGATGATGTTCCAGAAGAAGACGGCTTCACTCTATTTGAATAAATGTAGACGGTTGTACCGTACTTAAATAAAAATAACACATCCCCTGAAAATAAGGCCTAGGGTGTCTTCTTGAGGAAAAATAAATATAAGACCCTGCATCTGTCTTATTTTCGGGGAAACACGGTAAGATGATTCAACTGGTAGAATTTCCAACATAAAGTTTTGTTCTAATAGTTGAGACTGTTTGCTCCATTTCTTGTTCTCCTTTTTTTTGGAAGATTAGATATGTTAGTAGTTGGAATGTTGATGAACTAGAAACTCAAATGTAAAATTCGCTTACTATTTAATATCTGACTCATTTAAAATGGACTGGATTAAATAAAAATTTATTGAATGTATGCAATGTGTGCATAGATTATGTAGGATACAAAAGACATGTGAGCAATGGTCTCCACTCTCAAGGACCTCATACCTTACTAAAGGAGACAAAGTATTGATAGTGTAAAGAGACAAAAGACAATTAAGAAGCTATACGAATTTCAATGTATTTCTAAAATAAATGTCACGAAGCACTAAAACCATTATACTACACTTGATCTTAGCCAAAAGGCAGAGAAGCGGTACAAAGACCATTATATAAGTAAGACCATTATATAAAAACCTGCATAAATGTTTCATTATAATTCGAAAAGATCATATTTACATTTAGAGGAAATGAGGTTTTTCTCTGTGTGTTCTTGTGTCTTTGGAACCAGGATCTAGCAGTTTTTACTTGTTTGATTTCAATCCTGACAATCTTTGTCTTTTTAAAAAATTGATAAGAACCATAATTCTTTAATTCGTCCATCAAATTGAGGCATTTGGAGCAGTATTTACAGAGTTGTTTAAACAGTTTTAGGTGATTTTTAAAAATAGACTTTACGTTTTAGAATACGTTTTAGAAATTTTAGGTTCACAGCAAAATTGAGTGGAAGGTACAGAGATTTTCCCTATATTCCCTGCCCCACATATGTGTGGCCACCTGCTTTGTCAAAATCACTCACCAGAGTGACACATTTGTTATAATCATTGACCCTGCATTGAGACATCACTGTCACCCAAAGTCCATAGTTTACATTAGGGTTCATGCTTGGCCTTGCACATTTTATGAGTTTTGTTTTGTTTTGTTTTGTTTTGTTTTTTGAGACAGAGTCTCACTCTGTTGCCCGGGCTAGAGTGAGTGCCATGGCGTCAGCCTAGCTCACAGCAGCCTCCAACTCCTGGACTCAAGCAATCCTCCTGCCTCAGTCTCCCCAAGTAGCTGGGACTACAGGCATGCGCCACCACACCCGGCTAATTTTTTCTATATATTTAGTTGGCCAATTACATTTCTTTCTATTTATAGTAGAGACGGGTCTCACTCTTGCTCCAGGCTGGTTTCGAACTCCTCGCCTTGAGGTGATCCCTCCCATCTCGGCTCCAGGGAGTACTAGGATTACAGGCGTGAGCCACCGTGCCCGGCCCATTTTATGAGTTTTGACAAACGTGAAATGACATTTATCCATCATTGCAGTATCAAGCAGAATAATTTCTCTGCCCTAAACATCCACCGTGCTCTGCTCTCTCTTCCAAACCCCTGGCCACCACAATCTTGTTACTGTTTTCATTGTCTTGCCTTTTCCGAATGTCAAGCTTTGTCTTTTTTTTTTTTTTTTTTTTTTAAGAGACAGAGTCTACTCTTGCCCAGGCTAGAGTGCAGTAGCATGATCACAGATCACTGTAAACTTAAACTCTTGGGCTCAGGTGATCGTCTTGCCTCAGCCTCCAGAGTAGCTGGGACTACAGACATGCACCACCACTCCCAGCTAATTTTAAAATTTTTTGTAGAGACGGGGTCTCATTATGTTGCTCAGCCTGGTCTTGAACTGCTGGCCTCAAGGAACCCTCCCACCTCAGCCTCCCAAAGTGCTGGGATTATGGGCATGAGCCACTGTGCCCTCCCAGTTTTTTTGGCTTTTAACTTGAGAGTTTAGTCTATTTTTAGTAGTGATTTCTAATGTATTTGATTTATTTCTATTATCTTAATTTTCTTTTTTTATTTTCTATTTTTTCTAGGTATGTATTTTTTCTTTTTCTTCTTGATTGCTTTTGCATTGATTAGGGTTTCTTTTTTTTTCTTTTTTATCATACTTTCTTCCCCACTTCTCTTTTTAGTTCAGACATTATACCTTCAATTTCTTTTCTATTAGTGGTTGGTTGTATTTCTCTCAGCACATTGAAGATATTATTCCCCATCTTATCACTTTCACTTTTTTTTTTTTTTTTTTGAGACAGAGTCTCACTTTGTTGCCCAGGCTAGAGTGAGTGCCAAGGCGTCAGCCTCGCTCACAGCAACCTCAAACTCCTGGGCTCAAGCGATCCTCCTGCCTCAGCCTCCCACAGTAGCTGGGACTACAGGCCATGCCCACATGCCGGCTAATTTTTTCTATATATATATTAGTTGGCAATTTAATTTCTTTCTATTTTATAGTCAGAGAAGGGGTCTCGCTCTTGCTCAGGCTGGGTCTGAGACTCCTGACTCTGCCAGCGGATCCGCCCGCCTCGGCCTCCCAGAGAGCTAGGGTTACAGGCGTGAGCCACCGCGCCCGGCCAATCACTTTCACTTTTGCCGTTGAGAAGTCACCTGTCAGTGTAATTGTTGCTCCTTTGAAGATAAGCTGTCCTTTCTCTCTGGCAGCTCTTAAAATTTTTCTCTTTGTTTTGGTGTTCCAGAAGTTTCACTATGATATATCTGAATGTAGATTTTTTTTCCCCCATCTTGCTTTGGAGTCTTTGGGCTTTATGAATTTGAAGAGTCATGTCTTTTATCAGTTCTGAAAAATTCTCAGCATTCTTACTGCAAATCTTGCCTCTTTTCCCATTCTTTCTCTTTGTTCCTTTTTGACTCCGATTACATATATGTTCCTACTCTATTCCCCATGTCTCTTAACCTTGTTTACACTTCCTCCTGTTTTTTGTGCCACTGTTTGCACTAATTCTCTCTATTTAGCTTTGTCCAATCTGCTTGTCCATTGAGTTTCTAATTTCTTCTTCTTCTTCTTTTTTTTTTTTGAGACAAAGTCCCCCTCTGTTGCCCTGGTTAGAGTGCCGTGGCGTCAGCCTAGCTCACAGCAACCTCAAACTCCTGGGCTCAAGCCATCCTCCTGCCTCAGCCTCACGAGTAGCTGGGACTACAGGCATGCGCCACCATGCCCAGCTAATTTTTTCTCTATAAATTTTTAGTTGGCCAATTAATTTCTTTCTATTTTTAGCAGAGACAGGGTCTGGCTCTTGCTCAGGCTGGTTTCGAACTCCTGACCTTGAGAGCGATCCTCCTGCCTCAGCCTCCCAGAGTGCTAGGATTACATGCATGGACCACCACGCCAGGCCCGAGTTTCTAATTTCAATGATTATAATAATTATTTTTATTTCTGGAAGTCTCTTTGATTTCTTTACAAATTTTCCTGGTCCTTTATTTTAGTCTCATGTTCCTTAGTGTACTTTTCAATATCCCGTTTGATCTTTCTAAACATGTTAAGCATACTTGTTTTATCTTCTCATTCTGAAAGCTCCAACATCTGAAGTCTTTGTGGGCTTGATTCTGCTGCTTCCTGCTCATGAGACTTGTTTTCTTGTATATTATATGATTTATTTTTGCTTGAAGCTCATAGACCTTGAAACATTTTTAGGGAAGATTCTTTGAAACCTGGGTTCAGAGTGTGGGTTATGTTTGCAGGTCACACATGAAGATTAACCCAAGAATAAGACATTTCCCCTCTGCACAAAATGCTTGGCCAATAGATTCAATCATTTCATAAAAAATTATTGTTTTAAAGACAAATTTAGTTTAAAAAAAACCAATTATTTCTTCTTTTTTGTTTAGTTTTGTGGCTGCTGGTTGGTGTAGGGTTGTTGGGATTAGGACTACGGCATAAAACCTATGAGAGGAAATTGGGCAAAGAGGTAAGTAATTAAAAATTTTGAAGTAGAATTTTATACATACACTTGTATACTTCACCATTCCAATGGAATGCTACCCTGGGGCTGATGGCTTTAGTGCCATGGGTCCATCTCCTAAACCCTTAGTCCCAGGCTGATAATATAGTGGGATTATTTTATGAAGTTGGGATTTTGAGACAGGATAGACCAATCTATTAGAGGCAAACTGTTCATAATTTTGTTGTAGGGAGTTATTTTTGCCATTCGTGACTTAACATTTCTAAGCTATAAAATAAGGAACTATTTTAGTTTATTTATTTTAGTGTTTTGAACTAAACTTTTTATAAAGATGGGCATATTTCGATAGAATTGATAATGCTATACCACATACAAAGAGGACCAAAGTGAAAAAAAAATCACAGATTAGGCCAGGCGCGGCGGCTCACGCCTGTAATCCTAGCACTCTGGGAGGCCGAGGCGGGGGGATTGCTCGAGGTCAGGAGTTCGAAACCAGCCTGAGCAAGAGCGAGACCCCTTCTCTACTATAAACAGAAAGAAATTGATTAGCCAACTAATATATAGAGAAAAAATTAGCCGGGCATGGTGGCGCATGCCTGAAGTCCCAGCTACTCGGGAGGCTGAGGCAGGAGGATCGCTTGAGCCCAGGAGTTGGAGGTTGCTGTGAGCTAGGCTGATGCCACCGCACTCACTCTAGCCTGGGAAACAAAATGAGACTCTGTGTCAAAAAAATAAAATAAAATAAAAATAAAATAAATCACAGATTTGTATTCAGAATTCTTAGATTCTCCTTAATTCTACTTATGTATGTTTTCAACTCAATTGAGTTATTTTTTTTTTTTTAATTCCATAAAGTTTGTGGTCCCTGTTAGCTTGCACTTTGGGAATATCCCTGATCTTTGTTTTGGAAGACATAAATTGCATATTTTAACATAAGGAGAACCACTGAGGAACTATTTTACAATGGGCTTCTCCGTACTTTTTGGTAGACATTGCTAAGATAGCAATGTGAGATTCTTTGATTTAAGAACGATCTTACAGGCAATTCTTGATTTTGCAGATTATAGGTAACTTGTGTAGTGGTGGGTGGTGGAAGTTTCCTTGTGTCTTTCTTTTCCTTCTTGCTATCTACAGTTTTAGACGTTTCAATATCCTCTTGTAGAAAGCTGTGAAGAGAAGCAAGAGTAAGTCATTGCAATGTGGTACTTTCTATCTGCTTTGATAAAAAGTTCAATAAAATAAAAGCTCAATAAATAAAAGTTCAATAAATAAAAGTTCAATAAAATAAAAGTTCAATAAATAAAAAAGTCCATAATTCATCAGGCAGAGTTACAGTTTTGGCTAAAACAGAATTGGAGGGTTAACTCTGAATTTTAGCAATCTGCACTACCGGGACAATTTTTCATATTAAATAAAAAGCTACACAGAGGGCAGGGAGCAGTGGCTCATGCCTATAATCCTAGCACTCTGGGAGGCTTGAGGCGGGAGGATCGCTCAAGGTCAGGAGTTCAAGACCAGCCTGAACAAGAGTTAGATCCCATCTCTGCCAAAAAATAGAAAAAATGAGCCGGGCACGGTGGTGCGCCCCTGTAGTCCCAGCTACCCGGGAGGCTGAGGCAGGAGGATCGCTTGAGCCCAGGATTTGAGGCTGCTGTGAGCTATGATGACGCACACTGGCCTGCTTATGTGGCCCTCCTCCCAACTTGAGCTTTGTGGTCCAGTGTGAGTTGTTTTTTTTGGTTGTGATTGTGGATTTGTTCTGGTCCAGCCACTCACTTTCAGAGGACCCCCTGCTGTGGATTGGAGGTGGACGGCTGGGTTTTGTGGGCGGCACAACCTCTAACTGGCTCAGAGACCCCAAAAGGAAGCTCGTAAAGGGGCTGTCCTCCTTGACTTTGGCCTGGCCGGTCCAGTAGGGGTGTGACATCATCGTAACTAGGGCAGAAGGGGCTGACCACTTTATAAATATGTTGAAGGCCACCGTATGATCGTTCTCCCCTGCAAGGGTAACGACTGCCCTGGATAGTGTGCTTTTTATCATTTTCATGCATGTCTTTCTATCGTTACTAAATAGGGTAGATCCTTAGACAAAATTATTTTTACTATGTTTTTAACTTTATCTAAATGACATCTGATATATATGTTTTCCAACTTACTTTTTTTTAAATTTAAAATCATCTTTGTGAGATTCATCCTCATGATATTAGGTAGATCTAACTCATTTATTAGGGCCGTGTAATATTCCATTCTGTGTAGGCAGCACCATTTGTTTATGCATTTTCTTTTCTTTTTTTGGCATTTTTTTTTTATTTCGGCATATAATGGGGGTACAGATTTTAAGGTTTCAATAAATGCCCTTTCCCCCTCTCCCCCCACAAGTCTGAGTCTCCAGCATGACCATCCCCCAGACGGTGCACATCTCACTCATTATGTATGTATATACGCCGCCCCCTCCCCCCTGTTCCCAATACCCTATTACTGTAGGTCCCTAATGTTGTTCCACTTAGGTGCTGCTCAGTTAATAACCAGTGTTGCTGGTGAGTACATGTGGTGCAATGTTTTTCCATTCTTGGGATACTTCACTTAGTAGTATGGTTCCAGCTCTAACCAGGAAAACATAAGATGTGCTATATCACCGTTGTTTCTTAGAGCTGAACACTACTCCATGGTATACATATACCACATTTTATTAATCCATTCTTGGAATTGATGGGCCACTTGCTTGCTTCCACAGCCTTGCAATTAAGAACTGTGCTGCTATAAAACATTCGAGTGCAGGTGTCCTTTTTTGGTAGAGTGTCATTGGGATCTTTTGGTAGATGCCCAGCAATGGGAATTGGCTGGATCAAATGGTAGATTCACTTGTATCGCTTTAGAGCTATCTCCATATTTGCTTTCCACAGAGGTTGAGCTAGTTTGGCAGTCCCAACCAGCAGTGTAGGAGTGTTCCTCTCTCTCCGCATCCACGGCCAGCATTTGTTGTTCGGGGTCTTTTTGATAAAGGCCATTCTCACTGGAGTTAAGTGATATCTCATTGTGGTTTTGATTTGCATTTTCTTATTGATTGGCAGACAGCCAGGTTGTCCCTAATTTTTTGCGATTACGAGCAATGCTTATTATAAACACTTTCCAAAGATTTCCTCTAACTTCCAAGCTTAAGACAAAAATTCACAGATTACGAGATTATGATATAGCAAATACTTCCTTGTTTTTTGTGAATGAAATGTGGGCAAACGTCTAAGGAAACGCCTTTGCTGAGATAGGAGTTTTGGTCGAGCGAGGTGGACAGCAGTGTATCACTGTAGCTGCCCTTGTTCACTGTCATTCTAAATGACCACTGAAACTATTCCTCAGGCACCGGCCACAGTCGTCTCTGCTGCCATCTGGCCTTTCAGGTTTGGATATGACAATGAAGGATGGTCCAATCTAGAAAGATCAGCCGTCCTGCTCGAGCAAACAGGTAAGTCTCTTCCTGGGATTAGTTCCCGGGTTTGAGAACCCACTGTTGTTATTTTTACTTTCAGTGGGACAGTGAGTCATGGGAAAAGGACCTTGTGCTCATAAACTCATCTCTTAACAGAGCCTTCCCTTTGGCGGGCAGCCGGGGGAGGATGAACTTCTATCACATCTGTCCGTGTTTGGGAGCAATTCATTCAGTGGATCCCGAGGAGCTGGGTATCTGCAGGGGACTCTAGCCATGCCGTTGTTCTTTGTCGTTGGTAGCTCCAGTCACTTGGGGACCCGCTAGTGGGGACCAGAAAACTGTCGGATTAAGAGGCGGAGTGAGTCAGAGTGAGGTTCACTTGTGAACCAAGCTGCTTTCAAGAGCTCGAGAACCAGTTGTATTTGTTTTCATGTTCTGGGATGCTCATCTTTTTGGAAAGCATCCTTTAAAGACATGGGGGAGTTTGGTGCTTAGATCAACTACGGGAATATACAGGAAGATGGGTAAAGTACTCAACCGTTCTGGCTGTTCTTCCTCCTCTTCTTCTTCTTCATAATATATATTTTTTTCGAGGCGAGTCCACTCTGTTGACAACAAAACAGGCTATGAGTGAGTGCCCGTGGCATCAGCCTAGCTCACAGAAACAACACACTCAAGCAGTCACACACACAAAGCAACACACAACATCCCGAGTAACTTAGGACTACAGGCATGTGCCACCATGCCTGGCTAAATTCTAAAAAATATTTGAGTGGTCAAATTAATTTCTTATAAATTTTTAGTAGAGACGGGGTCTCACTCAGGCTGGATTTTTGAATCTCACACCTAGAGCAATCCGCGCCCGCTCGGCTCCCGGAGTGGCAGGATACAGGTGTGAGCCACCATGCTCGCCTCTCAGAAGTTTCCTAGCGGCCTTATATTAAGAATAGCCCAGCCTTTTAAGGGGATTTTCTAAAAAAAAAAAAAAGAAGAAGAAGAAGAGGAGGAGGGAAGGGCAGGAGGAGGAGGAGAAGAGAGAGATGAGGAGAGAGGAGAGGATGGAGGAGAGAAGGAAGAGGAAGAGACAGAAGAAGAAAAGAAGCAGGAGGAGGAAGAAGAAGAGACAGAGGAGGAGGAGGAGAAGGAGGGAGAAGAGAAGAAGAGGAGAGAGCGGAAAGGAAGAAGAAGAAGAAGAACAAGAACAGGAAGAGGAAGAAGAAAAAGAAGAGGAAGAAGAAAAAGAAGAGGAAGAGGAAGGAGGAGGAGGAAGAAGAAGAACAAGAACAGGAAGAAGAAGAAGAGGAGGAAGAGGAAGAGGAGAAGGAGGAGGAAGAAGAAGAAGAACAAC